GTTCAAGGGGTATGAATACTTTTGCAAACCACTGTATACTGTATATATCCCATTCTTTTAGCAAACATATGAAATGAAATGAAATTCTAACTTGTTTTTCTCAAACAATAAACAAATGTTTTATTTTGTCTTTTGCCAGGTAACAGTTGAGGTGGATGTAAACGTTGAGGCTGTTGTAAATTAAAAAAAAAAAAACTCAACTTACAAAATATGTACAAAAGAGTGCCTCACATTTAATGAGCAGTTTGTTCTCAAAGATCTTTTATTAAACAGACTCAATTTAAAAACACTTTTCTTTTCTTAACAACCACTCAAAGAGCTTTCACAGTATAAGTCACTTTCAAATTTGCAAACTGGGGTCAACCAGGGTTTTGTTGTCATTCCAATGACATTTCAACATGTGGCGGAGGAGGGAGCTGGGATTGCACTGCCAACCCTCCAAAATGCAGATGTCCACTTTCCTTCCCGAGCCACAGCTGCCTCCTCAGCGAAGCGCTTTACTCATAAAACTTTTAGGAATCTTTGGTTTGTGTCATATTTAAAAAATGAACAGACAATAAACTGGAGTTTGCTGCTTAAGGAGTCTCCACCTGCAGATGGTAAAAATCCAGCTCCTCCAACCCCTCTCCAGCTCTGGAGACCTACATCGAGCATCTTGTCTTCACCAGGATCTATATGTTTACAGTACAGGTGGTGAAAATGTTTGACACCTTGACCTGTGGCTGTAAACTTTCCCATTTCAAAACAGAGTTGTGTGACGTGAGCATAAACACATGTGTGCTCACATTCAGGCCTAAAATGAAATAAACTCAGAAAAACTCAACAAAACCCATTGATGTCTGTGTTGATTAATGTTCTATGTATATACAAGACTTCAACAGTGAACTGTAACCCTTAAAGAGCCAGAAATCATTCCTCAACCTGACCCACCAATCTTCATCTTTAAACAGCCTGCCACTGCTACTCGTGTAGAAGTATCAGCTAGATCTGCTGCCAGCAGCCTGTTCTCCGTCCAACTTTACCACCAGGAAAGATCYTTCACGAAGCTGAGATCAAAAGGAGTTTGTTATTACTTAATAACAAATTGACTCTTGTTTGTATTTAATCAGATTTGTTCCCCAGCTGGAGCTTTTGAAGGTTTTAAACCAGCAACATTTCTAACACTGACCAAACTAAAGCAGGCAACCCATCTAGATCTCAAGACTCTCCCCTTTTTGGCCAATATCTGGCATAACAGGAAGACCAAGTTCAAATGTACTGAGAGAGGTCAGATACTCCACCCACCGGGGTCCGAAGTGATGACATAAGTATTTATACTGGCCTGCGTAGTGTTGATGTAATACACATCAGGCCAGCTAAACCACAAAAACACAACAATCAGGGACTCAAGGGCACAACATACAAAGCAGCTCGTGATTGTACTTTGCTTTACATGTTGGTTTTYAAAACAAACCATTCAGATTGTATGTTTATTATGGCTGGATACACCTCCAAAGATATTTCTACAAGCCAAGTTTGGACACACTTTATTTCCAGAGTAATTACTATTTTKGTGTGAAGTAGAGTAATGTAAAGTTAGAGCTTCAACCAAGGTTAAATCGCCATCTACTGGCCAAGCCTAAAACTACATTTTTATTTATGCACAATCACCAAACAAATTCATTGTTATAAACATTTATATCATTTATAAACTATGCAACATCAAGTTATTTGTGTTTTTAAAAAAATGATACGGCCTGTAAATGTTTCCAGCGCATCAGTCCGATGTGCAAAGAAGAAGAGAGATGAAAGGCTGCAGGTCTGATGTGCTGTAGTGTGAGTTCTGACCTGCAGGGGGCGCTGGTTGGATGGTGACCGGAGCAGGTTTGACCACAGGCAGCACGGTGGTCTGCAGGGGCTGGAGGATGATCGTCTTGGTCTGCAAAGAAGCTGCAGCTGCCGGAGCCAGTGGCACAGCTGTGATCAGTGGTTTGGGCTGGATGGAGAACTTTGGGCCAATCTGAATCTGCCTTTTGACTGGTTGAGCTTGTTTTGCTGCAATGCATTTAGGTGAGAAATTACTAGATAAAAATAATAATAATAACAAATTATATATACATACATATATATATACATACATAT